CTTAATTCAGTGCACCTCAACGCCTAGAAATTAGCCTTTAGTGAGAGAAAGAACAAGAGACAGTAAGGAGATGGCATCTTAAGCTTAAGTAGAAAGCAGCCAAGAAACTGAGTAGGCAAGAGGGACATGGTGAGATCCAAGCAGGGCACATCCGAGGCTGAGATGTGGGAAGTGAACAAGCCATGAATGATGAGCAGACTCCAGGCCGAGCCATTTGGAGGAGCAGGTCCCTGAAGTGGTTTCGGTCGGCCATTCAGCAGGGGACTAGCAGTCCTAGGCACAGGGGAGTGCTGTGTAGTCAGAAAGAGAGACCCCATGAGAGCCACAGAATGAAGCAGAGGATGACACCAGAGGCCAGTTTGAAGTCGCCTGATTTGGAGTCAGACTGTGGGTGGGCAAGCCAAGGGACCAGTACTGGTACTTTGTCACACTATGGAGAAACGTAGTGATAACAATAGCTGACAACAATTATGCTTTCTGGTATATACCAGCCTCCGTGAAAATCAACCTGATGATTTAGTTACTATTTATTCTTCATATTAGACACATGGAGAACCAAGACTAAGAGGTTTAGAGGTATGTCCCAGGTCACAAAGCTAATAGAGATGCCAGGAATGCAGATGCTGGTTGATTGACTCCAGAAAAGTCCTTCCCAAAACATGAGGTATGTAGATAGGTAGATAGGTAGGTACATAGACAGATATTGGTTCCCCTATAGCAATAAGAAGGAACTAAGGTAGCGAGCTTCCCGGAAAGTGGTACATGGGCTGTTAAAAAGTGACCAGGGAGTTGTGCCTAGATCCCAGGTATAGGATTCCCTCAGAGAAACATCATATAGCTCAGCTGTGATTTTTCTGCTCCAAGTGGTCCAGCTTGGCTCTTTTACTTCACTTCAAATGGTGTTTTCTGCTTGTTTGTTGTACTGGACTTCAAGCATCCTCAGAGCCATTTTTCAAACAGGCTATTCTACAAGATCAGAGTTGCTAGATAAAATACAGAAATCCAAGTTAAACCTGAATTTCAGATAAAAAATTAATAATTTTCTAGTGTAAGCATGTCCCATGAAAAATGTATCTTAAATTCAAATTTAACGGGGCTTCATCTATTTTTATTTGCTAAGTCTGGCAATCTCATGTAGGGAGGAGAATTCATCCTCATTGAAGTAATTAATTTCTAATGCAAAATTTCAGGATCTTGCTGTGCATTATCTGGTCTCCCAAGGTCCATGGCTCTGAAGTTTCCAGGGGAATTCCAGAAATGTTTCAAAAGGACATAAAAAATGGGAGTGTTGCCCAGAACATAACTATAGCACAACTTGTTGGAAAAAAGTTATGTGGTTGATTTATCACTCTTTAGAACCAAATATCTAAGACCAAATAACTGAGAGTTTGAATTGGCCCAGGTGTTCATCTCTTATTTAATTGCCATCAATTAAGATGTCGACTGCTTTCCATGTGTTAAGCACTTTGCTGGGCACTGGAAATCCACAGAAACCAGAGTAAGTCTTTCCTCTTCATGATTCACTAGAGGTGATTAAAACACACACTTCTTTGAAAATGGCATAAATGTAAACATTAAAGTATGAACAGAATTCTGGACCCAAGTTTCTTGCAAAACCAACTTATAACAAGGATAAATTCAAACACAGCAATTTTTTTCACCACCGCCTCCCTTCCCCCACCCTACAGTGATTTTTGTGATTAAACATACTTCTCAAATTCGTTACTTTAAAACACACACACACACACACACACACGAAGAAGAGGAAAAAAAAAAGAAAGAAAGCACACTCAAATGTTAACATTTTGGATCTATTAAGCTATGTACAGATAAATATTGGCCCACAGTCCAAACCTGGCTCATTGCCTGGTTTTTGTAAATAAAGATTTATTGGAATACAGCCACTCTCATTTATATACTGTCTGTGGTTGCTTTTGTGCTATAATGGCAGAACTGAGTGCTTGCAGCAGAGAACAGATGGCTCTCAAAGCTGAATCTATTTACTATATAGATCTTTAAGAAGAAGCTTGCTGATCTTTGAACTATCCAGCTAAATTCGTCCAGTTCCAACTCAATGGTTATGTACACAGCCAAGACATTGTTCTTTAATGTTCTCACTTTAATGTTCTTTAATTGTCTCACTTTAAATGAGACAAAAATATTTTTTAAAATAATGCAGTAAACGATAAAATAGAATCAACCAGAAGTTCCCTGGGGAATACAGAGTTGTTGTGTTTTGACTGAGACTTAGAAGATAAGTGTTACGGGGTGCCCAGTTGGCTCAGTCTGGAGGGGGGATTCAGGCAGTTGTGCCTTTTACGTAGGTCCTTCAAAGAAAGGCAGTTCTGGAGGCCAGGATGTTAGTTGCATTGTAATGGTCCTGAGAGATGATAAAGACAATGTTGAATGCAAAGAACAAGAATATTTAGGAGGAAAAATGAGAAATGTAGTCCTGTTCAGTTTGTGGACCTAGACAATTCACTGTCATCTGTGTTCAACAGTTCTCATTCGGAAGTGAATTCACATTTGCATATATTACCTGAAACAGGATACTGGCAAAAAGATGATTGTCTTCCAGCTCAATATAATATTCTCTAAAAAATGTCTTTCAAAAAGCTTGTATCCTGGAATTTTATTTGCAAGGTGTGGAAGTAGGACTAACGACATGGTCACCGTCACAAAGATCCTTGGGGTAACATGAAGTCCTGCTCTCATTAGGATTTGCACCTTCCCTCATGCCCTCAAAGATTGTTTTTGGTTCTCTGTTCTCACTTCTAGACACCTCCTTTTTCTTTAACAAATTAGCACCTAAGGTTTATTAATTCTACCAACAGATGGTCCTGACACATACAAGTCTCACCATGAAAACGTTTGGATTTTTAATCAGGATGTTCTTTGCCCATGTGGAAATCTTGCCCAGCCTGCATAAATAGCTCGAGGCCTTGAAGCATTTCAATAAGCCTCAGATGGTTCTGCTGTTTGCGCAGTGAACTTCCCCTCCAGACTCCCCAGCACTTTCCCTGTGCTGCACTCAGAGAATTCCAACTGCCAAAGAAAGACATTGGACTAAAATCCTTCCCGGAAAGGATGTCTTAGAGAAACAGTGTTTGTTCTGAGTGTGTGACTAAAGGCTTTTTAAGAGATAGCTGGCCCTCTATCCTGTCCTGGTGGGAGATGGAAAGAGGTGAGCACCAGTGTCTAACCAACCTGTTGACGAGGGTATTTACTGTTAAGAGAATGTTCACACTCTGATATGTCATGACAAGCCTAGTGAAAACTGTAGAGCACTCAAAACAGGCCACATCCAAAGCCTAACTCCTTTTACATGGCTATTTATATATGACAACTGAGCCACATCATCAGCAATGAGACCTAGGCTACACCAGCCAGATGCTCAGGCACACATGTGTCTCCCAGTTATCTCCAATCATGTTCTCTTCAGACACCCGTCTTCCTCTCCATGATATTATTATAGGCCTTGGTGATCTCTGCCAAATATCACTCAGTTTCAGCTATATGCAAGGAACTGTTCCAGGGTTGAAAGAGGGTTTAAGAGGGTCCAATTGTCCTAGACACTGCACATGAGGTGAATTTCATATGAGCCCCATCCTCCTGGAGCACACAGTCTAGTGGGAAGACATCCAAACTGTGAGTGGTATAAAGTAGAGCGTAATAGCCCCAAGAAAGGAGCGAAGGTCCAGAATGAAAACCCAAAGGCAGGATCAACAAAACTCTGTTTTTGAAGGCTTCACGGAGAAGGAGACGTAGGGTGTGGTTTCTAAAACATGGGTAGGAGTTTATAAGCTGAGCAGTGAGGAAGAGGAAGGTCTTTGTCCCTTGGGGAGATCACATGGTCTATGTTTTGCTGCTCTTGAAATATAAATACCAAGAGCCAGATGGTGGTACTGACTCGGTACCTAGGTGATGGCTGGCCACTGGGGTCCAGGGAGGCATCTCTGAAGTGAGCACCACACCCAGCGATGGAGAACCAGCCAAACTGGGGGAAGCTTCCTTCTTCTTTTCCAGCCTCATAGCAGAGGTGGTAGCCATAGGTTTCTAGGCTCTCGTTTGGAAGAGATCAGAGCCTTCTCTGGGCAATAAGCCCAAAAGGGGGCAATTTAGGGCAGGATTTTCTATCACTTCCTCCTTCAACAGTTGGTTTTCAAATTTTGGTATTCACCAGAATTACCCAGGGCTACTGTGTGTGACGGGTGGCTGGGAAACCAGCATCAGCATCAGCTGGGAACTTACTAGAAATGCAGAACCTCATACTCCACCCCAGATCTACTCCCTCAGAAACTGAGGGTAGGGCCCAACAGGCTGTTTTAATGATGCCTCCAGGTGATTCTAAGGCACTAGCAAGTTTCAGAATGCAGAACCTAAGCATATTCATTAAGAATATGGGTTCTTGTGGGTCCCTGGGTGGCTCAGTTGGTTAAGTGTCAGACTTCGGCTCAGGTCATGAGCTCACAGTTCATGAGTCCAAGCCCTATTTCGGCTCTGTGCTGACAGCTCAGAGCCTCAAGCCTGCTTTGAATTCTGATTCCCTCTCTGTGTCCTTCCCCTGCTCATTTGCACCTTCTCGCTCTCCCGCTCTCTCGCTCTCTCGCTCTCTGTCTTTCAAAAATAAACATTAAAAGAATATGGGTTCTTGAACACCATTCACAGAGATTATGTACCAGTCAGGTAATCACACATTTTGCTAGCGATTGCAGCACCTCCATGGGCTATGCCCTCCAGGTCCTGCCGCGAAGCAGACTCCAACTTTTTCCCAGCAGTCCCCTCTACATTATTGGGATCACTTGAGCCTGGAATTCACCCCTTCGTTATGCATTTTCCTGTTAAAACAGTGATTGCGCCTGTAAAATGAGGCAGTAATACAGACGTGGGCTTCTCGGGTTTAGAGATGATGTGTGTGGAGAACCTGGAATCATTGCTGATGCTGGGCCTCTTAGCTCACGCTGCCATCACAAAGGACCATACTCTGGGTGATTTATAAACAACAGAAATTTATTTCTCAGTTGTGCAGACTGGTATTCTCAGGTCAAGGGGCCACCATGGCAGGGTTCTCAGGAGAGACCTCCTACTGCTTTCACAATGCCAACTTGTATCTTTACATAGAGGAGAGAAAACTGTCTGGGCTCTCTTGAAAAGAGCACTAATCCCATTCATGAGGGCTTCATCCTTCTGACATGATCACCTCTGAAAGACCCCGACTTCCTAATACCATCACTTTGGGGTGTAGAGTTCCGATATGAATTGGAAGGCGATAGGCACAAACATGCAGTCCATAGTATGTGGAAACAGGCAGCAATGACAGCTGTCCTCCTTCTTGGCCTATTCTGGGTCCAACCTGCTGCTAGTTTCAATGGCTGGTTACCAAAAGAGCACCCTCTGCAAGTTTTTGGTAGTCCGTGTGCCCCATTATTGAATCCAGTTGACTAAACCAACTCTGAAAGGCATAAAACATCCTATGAGAGGATGTCTAGATTGGGATATTTGATGGGATGCTTGTAAGATGCCTTTGGAACCTAAAAGGCCAGGACTGACCCAAAGCTCTTTGAACAGCACCCAACAAGTTGCTCTAAAATCTTTGCAAGCAAACATCTCTTCAGAAAGTTCATTCTTGTTTGAGCGTTCCCTTTCCCAACCCAATTCTACCTAATGCCTTTCTCAGTATGTTCTTAAATATCAAGGCTGTCTTCAAGAATATAATCTCAAACAATATCCTGTTCTCTGTTTTTGTATGGTGTGATACATTAGCTCTTCATGTTTTTCATGAGTTTGCTTCAAATCATGCTTCCTAAATCAGACCTATAGTACTTGAAATAATGCTTCTCTCCCTTTCCTGCCCCTACTCCCCCAACACTCTACTTGAGAGAAAAAGTATTCTACAACGAAAAAAACAGGAACAAAACAACAACAAAAACACCATGGCTCCCACTTGCTCTACCCCTAGGAAAGACAGTCTCAAATCTAAGTTCATAATTAACTCCAGGCTGGTGCAAAACACTTTCTTCCTGATATTTTAGTTGAGTATTACTATTGGCAGCTTGAGCTGTAAAACCAGCTCTGCCAATTGACATCAGCCTTAAAAACTGTCTGATGTACAAAAGTTTGAGGTAAGTAATGTAAATCACAAAGACTGGCAGGTGAGGAGTTGGTACCCTGTAGAGTGGGTAGAAAAGACATGGCAGAATGGTCAGATTAATCAATCACCCTGAGTGAGCAAGGAGTTTTTGATGAGGCATGTACACTTCCAAGAGATTTGTCTGAGTGTATTGCCTTGCAGCTAAATGGAGTGTTCAGTAAATGCTGAGCTCTTCTTAGCCAAGAAACAACAGTTCCCGTTCTTCTTATCGCTGAGGCATGTGAGTGTGAGTTCATTTTGAGAACGCTGCAGTGCCAATCAAAACACAGAATCTTCCAGAGTCTCAAATCCAGGCTCTTCCACATAACTTATGACTTCAATTTCTGTTTCGGTGGAAACAGTTTTCTGCAAAACAAAACATCCTCCTTTAGATGTCTTAGAGCATGTTTTTGGTTCTCTCAAATTTCTTTACAATTGGCTTTTTAAATGTATTTGGTTATAAAAAAGGTAAATGTTCACTCAAGAAAATATGGAAAATAGAAAACATCAACTTATCTTCCAAACACAGCCTATTGTTTCTCTTCAGCCTTTTTTCCTAGGTACAAAGTCACCTTAACAGGTAAATGAAGGCAAAAAAGCTTTACAAATTGCTTTCCGTGTAATATAATGTAATATTTTAAATGATCTATTCTTGGGCTGCACCATTGAGGAGCTCCATTGTTTTCCATTTATGGTTTGGTGTAGTGTCCCCTTAAATTTGATATGTGTTTGTCTAATTTGGGCTATTATAAAGCTGTTAATTAGAAACTTTGTGACTGAAACCACTCACAAGCGATATTTCTCTATGTTGTTTACTCATTCAACACATTTTTTTTTAATTTTTTAAATGTTTTATTTATTTCTAGGAGAGAGAGAGACAGCTTGAGCAGGGGAGGGTCAGAGAGAGAGGGAGTCACAGACTGAAACAGGCTCCAGGCTCTGAGCTGGCAGTCAGCACAGAGCCCGACGCGGGGCTCGAACCCACGAACCGCGAGATCATGACCTAAGCGAAAGTCGGACGCTTAACCGACTAAGCCACCCAGGCGCCCCTCATTCAACACATTTTTAATATCTCCTGTATCCTGGACACTGCTGTGTATTGAGGATGCAGTGACAAACAGATGTGCTGTCTGCCTTATGTGCTAGAACTTTAAGGGTTTGTAGTATATTTAATTTTGGAAAGAACCCTTTCTCGTTACCATTGTAGAAATAAAGAACAACTGCAAACTGGTCTCTAACAAATTTAAAACACAAGATGCATTTTTTTTTCTGAATATAAAAAGCCTTTTTTTTTTTTTTAATTGAGAGTGAGAAAGGCTGACTTCTGCCCCTCCTGCCCTCCCTGCCAGGCATCAACCTCTTGAATGTTAGAAAACAATCTCTAACTCGGGTCTGGACCAGCAAAACCTTGCTTAATGAGGGATCTGGAATGGCAGATAGACTAGAGTGATTTGCAATCAGATTCTGGATACCCACACCAAGCTCAGAGATGTAGGTTGTAATTAAAAGCAGGTTTCCTTTTCCACTCACCAAAAGCATCCTAGTGTGATGCAAAACTGTCCTTGCCAGTAGCACTCATAAGTCCCCTCATCACCCTTGGGGGAAAAGGTGACCCTTTGGAGGCACAGGCTGGTGCACTGCTCACATAATCTCCCAGGTGGAGAATTTAGGCCACAGGGCAGAACTTATGGGGTGGTACTTCATTTTCTAGGTTGCACTTGCTGTCTCTGTCTCTCTGGCCTTTTTTTTTTTTTTAACTCCACAATATGAAAGAAAGTAAGTTGTCCAGAAGAGCCTAGCAGTGCTAAGTTCTGACATTAATCCTTTGCTTATTTTGAAACCAGCTTGTCAAACCTAAGTTGTTATTTGTACACATGACTTCATTTTAATTAACAGCATACCACAAGCTTATACAGTGAGCTCAAAAGCCAGTTTCTTTCACCAACCTCAGAATATTAAAGAAAATCTTGGGGGCTCTGTAGGGAAATGAGATACCAGCATTAAGATGTTCCATTAAGAGGCCAAGACTAATGACTTGAGGGTGCTGCTGAGATCAAATGTAGTTTATCAGGGATGAGAATGCTAGAGCAAGGAGGGACTGATGACACAAATTCAGATGAACCAAAGCAAAGTTTCATAATGGAGTCCACTATTCTTCAGAAAAACAAAAGCAAAGCCCCACTCCCTGATAAAGAAGAATATAAGATGAAACTAAGGACAGAGTGGTTCTTCTGCCTGACTCAATTCTTCGCTTGACTAGGTTTGTAACTACTATGGTCTGTAATAACTCCAAACACCCAAACTGAAAACTCTAAATGTCACAGCTTATTGAAAAGATCCATTTCAGTGAGTGTTTGACCCTTAACTGTCCTACAAACAATCACCAGTTATTCACCCAGGAGTCACTTCATTAGAAAACTAATTTGTTAAGAAAATAGCTTGGCATCTACGCCAAGGACCTGCGAACTACAGCCTGTGGGTAGAATCTGGCTTATTGGCTATTTTTGTAAATAAAGTTTTATTGGTCAGAGCCAAGCTCATTCATTTGCATATTGTCTTTGGCTGCTTTCACTGTGGTCAATGGCAGAATTGGATGGTTGAGATAAACCATTTGGCTGTTAAGTATTTACTATCTGGCTTTTTATAGAAAGTTTGCTGAGCCCTAATATGAATAACCAGTCCATTTAAGGACATATTTGGCAAAGTATATAATAACTGTACACTGAAAATCACAAAAGATTGCTGAGAGAAATTAAAGAAACCTATAGAGGTTGATGATACTGTATGTTTGTATTGTATAATAATATCATGTTTACAAATTGGGAGATTCATTTTTAAGATATCACTTCTCCCCAAATTAACCTACAAAGTAACACAACCCTAATCAAGATCCCAGCAGCTTTTTTGATAAAAAATCGGTAACGTTGCTCTAACATTTATATGTGAATGCATAACACCTAGAATAAGCAAAATAGCTTTTGCGGGGGTGGAATCATGTTTGGAAGACTTACACTACTGGATCTGCAGGTTTGCAGTTAAGGTATAGTAATCAAGACCACATTAGCATAAAGATAAACCAACAGATCAATGAAAACAAATAGATGGTCTGGAAGTAGACCCACACATATATAGGTAGCTGATTTTCAACAAAGATGCCAAGACAGTTCACTGGGGAGAGGATAATTTTCTTCCCCACAAAATGATGCTAGAACAATTGGGTGGCCATAGGTAAGTGAGCATTCAGTTAAGCCTAACTGCTCTGAATGGCAAATACGGCCTACAGAAATGCATTTATGGGGAAATCATTTGCCTTCTCTGTGGTTTTTTATATTAAGAAACTAGGAAAATTTTCTCTGAAAAATGTTATTAATTAGGGTATCCATGTGCAAAAACACGGATTCTTGTAACATCAGAACTAAACAGGACATTTTTCTCATCTGTACAGAAAAAGAAGTCATGAGGTTGAAGGAATTTCTGAAACCCAATTAAGAGAGCAGTGATAGAAAACAATTCCAGTCTGTCTGGTAAGGACACTCAAAACTTGAGCAGGACCTTCCTAATATTCTAAGGCAGTAATGGACAAATGCAACACAAACAACAGTGAGCCACAGAGCATAATGACCGAAATGACATAAAGTTGGCCAGCCCCCCAGGTAGTCACTCTGCCTTGGAATATGAAAAACCAGTAGCCAGATAACCAATCCCTGGAGACCCAACCCTGGGCAGATAGGACCCATCATAAGAGCCTTCAACATTACCTCAGAGCTGACGATTACAAAGAAATCTTGAATACTACTTTTTGGTGCTGGAACTGGTGGAAACAACCTGGTCCATAAGTGAGCTCTGAAAACAGAGCAAAGCAGGGAATTAGATGAGTGATAGCATCCTTCCTTGTCTTTCAGTATCTACTCTACAAATTGACCTAGTTAAGCTCAGGACCTGCTGTTCTGTAAATTCTAAATCTTTGCTGACCAGGAGTTATAAATATTTGTATTGTAATATGGGGGCTGTGATGCGGGCTTCTGGATCCTCTAAGAAAAACATAATAGTAATTGCTTCATGTTGGTCCGTGTTTCCAAGCCTAATTTCTGAAAATGGGCCATCCGAAAGTACTTGGTGCCCCACTGCTAAATACAGTGCTGGCTACAGGCCCACTGTAGCCGGCTCACGGGGTTCTTCCTCTCCTTTGAAACGCTACCCTCCAACCCAAAGAGTGTAACATTTATTAATAGTGAGGCTTTTTTTTTAATGTTTATTTTTGAGAGAGAACACATGCATGTGATGGGGGAGGGGCAGAGAGAGAGGGAGGCACAGACTCTGAAGCAGGGTCCAGGCTCTGAGTTGTCAGCACAGAGCCTGACACAGGGCTCGAACCCATGAGCTATGGGATCATGACCTGAGCTGAAGTCACAGGCTTGACTGACTGAGCCACTCAGATGCCCCAACAGTGAGTCTTTTTAAAAGATCAGTAATTTTCAAGGTACCTGGGCAGCTCAAGTGGTTAAGTGTCTAACTCTTGATTTTGGCTCAGGTCATGATCTCACGGTTTGTAGGACTGAGCCTTGCATCAGGCTCTGTGCTCGCAGCATGGAGCTTGCTTGGGATTCTCTCTCCCCTTCTCTCTCTCTGCCCCTCCCCTGCTCACTCTTACATGTGTGCTCTCGCTCTCAGAATTGTGAAAACTATGAATGGGCTAAGATGGAACATGTTCTTAAGCCCCCTAAACGGCCCTTTGCCTTACTGAATGTCAGAATGGTTGAGGAGTTCATATGGGACCATTTGCAGGATCTAGAATTGGTCACCAGATCTGTATGACATTTCTAGAATCTGCATTTGACCAAAGGACAATCAGCCACTCAAGGCCAGGTGAACAAAAGGCAAGGGTAGGAGTCGGCACCTTGTAATTGGAGATCATAACTGGATTCCCATAAATGGGAAGCATTGGGATGATTTCAGTCTCCCGTGAGCTGCATTCCTTTACCCAAGACATAAAAGGAGCCTGCTAGTGGCTCTACTAAGACATCCGAATACAGAGTGTCAGGTGGTAAAGGAATGAAAAGACCATGAATGTAAAAGGCTTCACAGAAATGAAAACACTGCCAACAAATTCAAGAAGGGTGTATAATGGCTGAGGGCTATGTTGTGCTCTCCACTTTCTGTAAATCACCTAAGGGTGTTTCTCACTTTTTAATTTGGTCCATACTCATCTTGGAAATGCTGTCAAGAAAACACTAAAGTGTTGCAAATTCCATCTGATTAAAAAAAAAAATCCTAATGGATACACAACAGAAATGTAAAAATTCAATACCCATACCTCATTGGAAACACCCAAATATTCAAAAATACTTACGTTTTACAGATGAAGGAGAAACTTAACAAGATGAAGCAGATGGCTGCCATAAGCGCGATAAGAAACCATTCTGTGGAGGGCTTCTGGTCATCATTTCCTGATGGAGAAAGAAAGAAATCTGAGCTAGAATCAGCTATAAATCTGCAGCATGACGAGATGCAGTCACCAGAAAGCTTGGGTTTGAGTCGCAGGTGCTGAGTGACACGGGACAAGTAGCTTAGCCATCCTGAGCTTGAGATTTCTCATGTGGGTGAAATGAAGTCACTTTTAATATTAAATCCATTATCTAGTCACATATTTATGGACTATACTATATGGATTAATGCCTCCTGAATCCTGGAGCTTATCAGCTTTTGGTGAGTAATAAGGTTTTTAGCTGGCGAGACTAGGAAACATAAGTCCTCTTAATAATCTAATTGCATTACAATCAAAATACACAAAGTTAGAAACTTAACTTTTAGAGGAAGCCAAATACAGAATAATACTCAGAGTTAACCCTAAAAGCATCAGACTCTGCTAGAAATACTTTGCAATCTTAATTATGCTTGACACCCCTTATATTATTCCCATTTCGAGGAGAGAAAAGTAGAAGAAAATTGCCATTTAAGTCAGTACAGAAAGTATAAATACATCACCTGCCATCCTATTCTCTAATTAAATTTGGTTCCGTTTTGATGACCGCATTGAGGTGTGTGATTATTTTTTAAGGTACTGCAAAAGCTTTCAGGAAAACTCAAGGTCCTTAATACACGATTTTTAAACAGGTAATGTACTTGTTAAACTGCCTGATTCACTTCTGGAGAATAAGGCAAAAACTGCACTATCTCCCTGATATAAGTGTCTTTTCTGTGGGAGAGGCCAGTCACTTATTCATTCCTTTCTTCACCCCTTTAACAAATATTTATCAGACTTCCGTTATGTGGTTGGCATGGAACAGGTTGCTGTGAGCTGGGTGAAAAACATACGTGTGGGCTCTCCTCTTCTGCTATTTAGATCCATCAGAGAAGAAAGGCTCTAAGCAAATAATGACACACGTAATGACTTAATGCCAGCTGTGCTAAGTGCAGCGGGCGAGGGGTGTTTAAACCAAGCTGCACCAGGAGAAACAGGTCCCAACCTCAGTTTGCCAGTAATTGTTTCCTTTATAAAATGAAAAGTACATAAGTAGAACTTTCAAGTGCTTGTAAATATTCTAAGACTTCCAAAAGCTCGAACATACTTGAAACTCAAAACATTCAGGGTATCAAGAGGGAGAGCTGTCTTGAGGATTTAATTCCAGGGAGTCCAACTTGGCCTTGATCTCTTGCTTTTTTGCCTCCTGAGCACTCTTATTCAGGGTTTATCTTCTACTTCCTCAAAGCTTTAATCTCTCCTCCTTCATCTCTTCCCTTCTGCTTTCTAATATTCATAGAGTCCTTTATCTTGAATAAGCCCTTCCCTTGCCATCGCTCCCAACTATTATCAAATTACCTTCCCACTTTACTTCCCAGCCTAATTTCTTGAATAAGGGGTTCAGGCTGCTTCATCTCCCCATCTCAGAAACTGCTTTATTTATTTGCTGATGGTTGCCTCCTAGTTGAATCCAAAAGACACTCAGTTTCTTTTTCCAACTTTATTTCGCCTGGCCTCCCTCCTGAATTTCATGCTTGACAATTGCGCCCACCTTGAAACCAAGGCGTGGGTTCTTTGACCACAATATTTCCCTTCCTCAGTGGCATTTCCTTCTTCCCCTTTTAGGTTCGGTTGACCCTCTCCGCTCATCCCTGCGCCCGTGGGTGTTTTCCAGGACAGTCTATTGCTCCAACCCTGGAAAGCTGGTTGAACACAGCTGCATCTTTTAATACCATGTGCTCTTCTCCCTGGTATTTATTTCTGGCCCTGCCTTGACACGCAGCTCACCTTCTAGATCTGAAACTGCCATTGAGTGAAGGCCACTTAGATGTTCCTCCAAGTGACAATGTTGAAAACCAAGGTCATGTGCTTCTTCATATCAGAAGGACTTCTCTCACTGACTTCCCCCTGGTGGTCTCCATTCTTCCACGTTTCCATACTGGGATTGTTGGAAGTCACTCTGAATCTTCCTCTTCTATACAGCCCTGCTTCCCTTCTCCACAGACTCCTTTTACACCATCACATCCTAACGTCTCATAAAGGTAACACATCATGCTTTTGTCTCATACATGCATCCCAGCTGAGTGTGGAAACCTGGGTTCTATTCTCAGCTTGTTGTGGAGGTTGCCATACTTCGGCTCCCTCACCTGTAAAAACAAGCGAGTTGAGGGACACCTGGGTGGCAGTGAAGCATCCAGCTTGGTTCTGGCTCAGGTCAAGATGGTTCGTGAGCTTAGGCTTCTCTTCGGGCACTGCGCTGACAGTGTGGAGCCTGCTTGGGATTCCCTTTCTCTCTGTCCCCCACCCCTGCTCTCCTCTCTCTTTCTCTCTCAAGAATAAATAAATTAAAAAATTTTTTAAAAGTGAGTTGAAGTACATGACTCTTAAGATCTCTGCCAAATCAATACCACTAGTCAGGCCTGATACCATCCAGGCCACTGTGATTTCCTGCACACTTACCTTTAACAAACTTCATTTTAGAACAGTCGTCATTTGTATTGCTGAAGGTTTGAAACCTGTAGTAAAGTATAAAATCTTAACACCAGTGGTCATCAGAAGTAACTAATAGCTTACTTTCTTTACGTATTTTTTTCTTTTTCTTCTGAGTTCTCTTAATGCAAGGTGTTTGCCGTACATTTTAGTGTAATGCTTACGACAATGCTTTGAGGCGGGCACTCCTGTCCTCACTTGGCATATGGAGGAACTGGAGCAGAGAAGAGCAGCGTCAGGCAGCTGGGGACACAGCTAACAGGCGGGGCCGGAATCCAAGTCTATGACTGGCTGACCAGTAACGCTCCCATCACCGTGGTGCAGGGTCCCCGGGCCACTCCTCATCATCCCCAAACTGAGGACACAGTGCGCAAGCAGGAGCTCCACTTAAAACATCCTAAGCAGTTCTCTATCATTGAGCACTTTCCTGAGAGTCTGCTTCCCAGCTGAACACCACCTCCCTACAGGGAAGCAGTTTCCCTGCTGTGTCCCCTCTGTTGGACGTAAGCTAAGTTGGTGCTATACTCCAACAGAAGGCGGCTGCATTGCAAAGGAGTCGTTCCTCCTGGTGTTCCCTAGGCTGCAGTTGGGACTGAATCACTTTATTAAAAACCTATGACCATAGGGGCACCTGGGTGGCTCAGTCGGTTAAGCGCCTGACTTCGGCTCAGGTCATGATCTCACGGTTCATGGGTTTGAGCCCCGCATCGGGCTCTGTGCTGACAGCTCAGAGCCTGGAGCCTGTTTCAGATTCTGTGTCTCCTTCTCTCTCTGACCCTCCCCTGCTCATGCCGTCTCTCTCTTTCTCTCTCTCAGAAATAAATAAAACATTAAAAAATTAAAAAAAAAACAAACCCATGACCATAGTACTTTTTTTTGTTTTAAGTTTTCGTATCTATATCTATTATTTTACAAAGAAGCATTGGTCACAGTAAATATTATGAAAGAGATGCTCCAGGAGGCAAAACTTTTCCCAAAATCTATAGATACTGAAAGGTCCTAGCATTAATATTCAGTTGTCTGGGTTGTAACTGAGCACCCTGTTAAACCTAGTTTTCATTGCACTTGCTCATAGCTAATGTAAAGAGCAACGGGGATGACCTAATACTCTCAAGTCAAATAGTGTCGTGCTTTATTTCCCAGTTCGTTGTCCTGAATGAGGGATTCTGCCTGCTTCATTCTCCCATTTCTGAAACCCACCATTCCATTCTCTTAACCATTATCCATGTACCTTAATCAGTATATTCAGAAATTCTAGACTCCTACATGGAATATAAATTTTGCAAGGGGTATGTCAGCAGGAAAAAGTTACCCTGTTTACCATGAGGCTTAACAGACAGGTAAAGTTTGGGTCCTACAGAAAGAAAGAGCAGTGTTGTAAATATTATCAGGGTTATACACTCGGTCCCATTTGTGTTTCAAATTGTGAAATACCTTGTAACCTGATAGGCCAAGTGCTGATAATAGTACCGTTCATTTCTGACCATGATTACAAAAATCTTTTCAGTTAAACTACTCCCTAATGATTCACTTCAGTTCTCACTTTGATAAACAAAGTTTTTTCCTGGATTAGCAATAATACAAAGGCAGCTGATTTTATTTCATGCAATCAAAAATGTTATTGATGCATGCAAGGTGCTTTGTGGGAAGCAAAGTCATGGTCCCTGCCTGGAGGGAGGTGGCAAATTAGTCATTACTCCTGGCCTGCCTTCTGCAGTGTCCTGATATGCTTTAGAACGACCCCCCAACCACCAACTGAGATCAGAACTAACCTCCCAGAGAAGAGAGCCAAGGTCAGCTTTACCATGAAGAAAACACAAACAGGCAGGTAAAGTTAGTACAAGAAAAAGCTTTCATATACTGACTGCCAAATGGAAATTACTTGTGGATTATCCAGTTTAATTATTAATGTGAAAAGCTTGAGTAAGTTATATAAATAAGTGAATTAAAGTTAGCATCTACTCTAATTTCACTGAAGGTAGAAAAAAAGGGCAACAGGTCCCAATGACAGTATAAATCCTTTGGGTCAAAATCATAAAAAAGAAACTTCAATACTGCAAAAGTTGGGAGGCTGCTAAAGGTACCATTAACTTGAATTCTGAGGTCTCTGGCTTTGGAAGTTTTTTTAAGAAAAATGTTTCCAGATAACTTGAATCTTTTCTGTGACTCAAGGAAAATGCCTTTCTGATCCTCAAGCGGAAGCCACAGATGTTTCTTGTCAAGAAATTGAAGGCACCACTATTTAGTTATGCACAGATATTTTAGAAAGAGGAAGTCACAAGACCTGTCCTTCTAAGGAGGACAAGCCCTCCAGACTGTCTACCTCATTCCTGAATGCTCTTCTGCCATTGTCAACTGAGATCATTCAGGAACTCCGCTATCTGGTTTCTGGTGGCCTTGGCTTCTATCACTTTGGACTTCTCAACCACCTGACCTTGAGAATAAACTAACAGTTGAAAATTCTGCTGTTCTGTGACCCAGGAGTGTGTGGGGTGG